TAAGAAATTGTCAATTACAGTCGAATGCGAGGAGAATAATAGATTGCGATTCGTCCATTTCTTATGGCTTAAGACTTAAAAATCTATCGTAGATTTAGAAAATCCAGACTTAGAAAAAAATCTGTTACATCGATGGCATAGAGAGTTATATTTAAATTCTGTTTTATAAACACAAATCATTTTCTATATAATTTGTATTTTTTAAGTAGAGAATTTGTTTTTAAAGCAAAAAATTTGTGTAATTGAAGCAGAAAATACTTATTCTAGCCTCATTTGCATGTTCTCATATCCTTCTATTGTATAATACTCTATTTGTACCATCGATATGACAGATTTCCTAATCTGAATAGTCGTTGTTGCAACAGCGCTTTGATACCAAACGCTGATTGGTGAAAAGTCGGTTGTGGGATAAAATTTACCTTTATCATTCGTTTTTCATCAATCAGCATTCGGTGTCAAAGCGCTGTTGCCCGTACGATGATCCAGGCTAACAAATTCTTTCGTTTTTTCATGCAAACGCGTTGAATAAACCTAATTTTATTGATTTGTGAGATGCTGTAGCTAAACTGTGTAATTAACTGTGTCTCACATATACGGTTTTAAAGACTTTTTATCAAGCTCCGGTTAACTCAGTTTAGTAACTTTGTGGGATTCCAATTGAAGCTGATGTCGGAGAAAAAATGCGAACTGAAGAGTTAATATATTTACATTTACATTTATAATTTCGAAAAACTTTTAGAGGTGACTTAAAAATACAAAATATAAATAAGGAGCACATAACCACAATACAAGATGTCTTAAGCGAAAGTCATATATTTAAGAATTTTTAATAAGTAGACCGGTCAAGTCTTGATCATCATCAGTACAATAAAACGATGTGTTACAAACATTAAAAAGAATATTAACAATTATTCGCTAGTCCAGACTTGACGATGACAATTTTACATTTGCTTATGAAACGAAATTTTATTACGATAAATTCCTTGTTATTTAAAACTTTGTGAAATTTCGTGTGAAAAATACAGAATTTCCAGATTCTAGTTAGATTTAAAAGAGAATAAAATTTTAACATATTACTTTTTTATATAATTGTCAATAATAAGAATCGATTTAGATTCATAATCGAATTAGCTTACTATGTATTTTGACAAAAGTCCTGGCAAGTATAATTCGGAGTTTTTAATGTAAATTAACAATTACAGTCTTGGAAAATCTTTTAGTAAGAACTATTCTTGACAAAATGTGATGGCCGTATCTTGCGATAGTCCTACATATAGGGAAAGGAGAAGGAAGAAAAATAAAAGAGAATAGTTTATTGGTGAATTAAGCTTTTTTCGATAATGGATAGATAGATGTCAGGAAAGCGTTCTATATCGTTGTGTTTATTCAAACACATTTTTTGTCTTTTGATATGTATTATCTCGGAGACCATTTTTTTATCATATGATTGTTCGGAATCTAAAATTTTTGTGAAAAATTTTTTCTCCCAATCAATCCTATAATGATCTAATATAGTGATCTGTGATATGAGATAAACATAGTATCACTTGGTTTTTTATGTCATTATTTCTTTTAAACGAGTCTTTAGTTTTTTTTTTGTTTGTTCTACATATGAAGAGTTGCAGTCGAGACAATTCTTATTTTTTATACACAACATTTGAGTAATCTTCTTTTTTAATTTTATCTTCGCCTATCTTTAAAAGTATTCAAACAAAAGTATTCATAGGTTTATAGGCAATTTTGAAATCAAATTTTTGTGTAATAGTTTTGAATTTTTCTGATATTTTATTAAAATAAGGAATAATGAAATATTTTTTTGTAATTTCTGTAGAATCCGAGCTAATATTATCTTTATGTTCCTTGATATTATCAAAATTATTTTTGAAAAACAAATCTTTTATCCTGTTATTGATCGTTGAAAATAGGAATTCGAAAGGGGGGAGGTATCTATTATCTTGAAATATATTAATTAAAGAAACAATATTTTTTGATAAAATTATGGATGGGCAAGGAATAGAATTCTAACTGTCCGATTACTACATCTTTTTTGTATTCTGTAGGATCAATTAAAATTCAAATATCTACCAGAATCAGTAGACTTTTTGTAATTGTCAAAGATAATTTCTCTATCCTCTATTAACAGTCTTACCTCAAGAAAATTTATTCCTCTATCATCGCTATATTCAATCGTAAATTTAGTTCTTTCATGATAAGAATTAAAGAAGCAAAGAATTGTATCAATTTGATCTTTTGGAGTTGCCAAAATAATGTCGTCAACATAACGATAATAGAATGGAATATGGATGATTCATAGTCCGTTCTTATTTCAAGACTGTCTTAAGTAAAGTCTTAAGTCGCTAATACAACTCTCTGATTAGTTCATTAGTGACTTCTTAAGATTGTCCTTAAGACGGTCTTGAATATAAGATATGACTATGAATACCGCCCTATGTGTGGTTAGAGCCTTAAAAATGTCGATTTCCAAGTCTTGTATTATAACGTTAGCTAAAATTGGAGAAAAAGGAGATCCCATGGGCAGACCGAAAACTTGTTTGAAAATTTCGTCATTAAATTTGAAAAATGTAGAATTGAGATTACTATTTGAAATTCGCTGATCGTCGGTATTATCATGTTATACTAAAATTTCGTTTCATAAATGAATGTAAATTTATCATCTTTAATTCTGAATTTAAAATATTGTCAATCCATTTCATAAGCGAATGTAAAATTGTCATTGTCAATTCTGGACTAGCGAATAATTGTTAATATTCTTTTTAATGTTTGTAACATCGTTTTATATTTTATTGTACTGATGATGGTCAAGATCGAAACGTCTACTTTATTACATTCAAAATTCTTAAATATATGACTCATTTAAAACATCTTGCGTTGTGATTTTGTGTATGTATATATATATATATATATATATATATGCTCCTTATTATTTATAATTTCTGTTTTTGCATTTTTTTCTCTGACATCTGTTTCAATTGGAATCCTGCAAAGTTACTAGATTGGAAAGTTATCCAGAGCTTGGTAAAAAGTCCTAAATATGGAGAATAAAACTCCATTTATGAAACTATAAGCTAAATGTTAGTGAGTCTGTATTTAAAGGGCAATATAATTTCCAGATATGATCGATATTACTATTCTGAACAGTAATATTACTGTCCTGAAAGTATCAATCATGAAATTTTATCTCCAAAATGAAAAGTAAAAATTTTAACCTTGCATTTTAATTTTGCAGTTAATGGAGAAATTTTTCATTTTTCACTTTTCATCCTAGAAAAAAAATTTCATAATTGATACCCAAATCAGGTGTTGAAAAAAATAAGGGCTTAAAGGGCTGATCAGAAAAGATGAGCTTTATACAGAAGAGATACTATTCGTGACTTCTACACAAAGCATATCCTCTGCCTGAGGAAGATACATATATATATATATATCTTTCTTCTTCTTCTTTCTTCTTGAAAAGAAAAGGAAGAAAGATGAATTGGTGCAAAAAGTTCAGCTAAAAAGAACAGACCTACTAACTACTGTGACCCTTCATAGTAAGAAAAACATAGTACAGAAAACCAAACAGAATCTAAGCAGAACAAGTCATTATAATATTAAAATAATGTCAAAATGACTTCAAAATAATCATTAAAAGTCACTTTTCAATCATTCCTGATTCATTTTAATATCATTTTGATTTGTTGTTCTGCATGGGGAGACTTAATAAGAACCCAGCTTCTGCTCAGAATAGGAACTTAACTCTCACCTAGAGTGTCCGAGATGATCGTCTTTAGATCTACCGGCGGCAGTACGCTCGACGTCGAGAGGACTCGCTCCGAAGACCTTGTACAGAACTTTGTCCGCGTCCATCACCGCTACTGGGAATTTACATTCAATGAGCAAGATGTTAAATAGGTTAAACCGTATCGCGATGCGACATCGTCGATCTTACACGAGCGATTCCGCGCCCTGATCTCACACTATTCTCCCAACCGCGGAACCGCTACGTCTCATTAGCGAGTCGTGTGTTGATAGACAGCGTCGACAGCGACAAACGGCGATAGAATAATCGATAGACAACGGCTCTCGCGAGTAGCGAAGAGAGTCGGGAGTTTCGATTTATGCACGTCCGTCGAAAACGCTAACATCGCCATGTCTAAAATCCCTATACTACAGAATGTCTAGAGGGTCAATCATGTAATTTCACGTGAAATTTTTCAAGTTTCATCTTTATTTTTTACTTTCCATTTTTCGAAAACGGTTCAATTGCGCACTGTAGTAATTGCCCACTGCCAATCACAACGACTTCTGCGTAGGGAGTTTTGGATTATTTTTTTTTAGCGCTGTGATTGGCTTGTGCGCAATTAGCTTGTGGGCAATTACACTCCTAGATGCTTTCCATTTGATGATACAATTCGATACAAGTTAACACAAGTGTTGTTCTATCTTTGTCATTCTCTGAATGTTAAAAAGAATAAAACGATACTCGTGTCATCAAATAAAAAGTACCCCTATTTTTCAGGGTGTTATTTTATTTTTGCGTTTTTATCATATGACAAATATCACACAGAACAGGGATTGATTCATATCAATCATGAAACTTTATTCCTAGAATGGAAAATAAAACTTTTATCATTAAAGTTAATAGAGAAATTTTTCACTTTTCACTTTTCATTCTAAAAAAAAAAATTTCATGATTGATACCCTAAAGATCCTCGGATCTCTTTATGACTACATTTATATGACTCGCTTAATCAGGTTTAATAACATAGTTATGAAACTAACCAATTATAGTTGTTTCATTCTTCCGACGAACATCATAAATGTAATCTATTCCATATCCAATTACAGGCTTGAAAATTTGTCGTACGACAAAAACGCACAAATAAAGTATCACCCTCACTCATCAAAATTATGCTTATATATATATATACAGATGGAATATTTTGATTGGTTAATTTGTGATGACGCGCGCGTGATGCTCTCAGTGGAAACACCCTTAATCTGCAGTCGGTGCCTAGCGTTTGCTAACGTTTCTGGCTCCTCGCAGTATATATTTATCGATCATTATTGATATTTACCAATTTGATATTTATCAATTTTCACAACCATTCTCGATAGGATAGAGATCTGGAGAGAATAATTGAGTTTTGAAGAAAAATAAGGGGCGCGACGAGAAACGTCCACGACTCGTCTGATTATGTTTCGACGTATGTTTACATCAACTTCGCGCAGTGTATCGGTAAGTCCACGTGGTATCTCGTTTTGAGTCAGAATCTTTTTTTGTAGGTTATTCACACACAGTGGATAATTAATTTAATGGCAGGTGATGGCAAGATTGTTCTGAGCAAAATTTCTGACTGTATAATTTATTAGATTCTTATTTTATTATTTTGGGAAATTGTGTGTGTGTGTGTGTGTGTGTGTGTGTGTGTGTGTGTGTGACATTTATCATTTTTTTGTACTTTGAGAAAAAAAGTGTCATGCGAGATTAGCACGCCATATTTTATTTTCATATTTGATTTTTTTAATGTAAAAAGTTTTAATGTAAAAATAAAATATTTTTTATTTTTTTGTAAAATTGTAGAATTATGAAAAATATTACTGGAATTGTCATTATTTTGATAACTATACAGTTTAGCACAATCACCCAAAAATCAATAATTAAAAATTAGGCTTATTTGATGCATGAAATGAAAGAATCTGGCGTCACTGCCCTGTGATCCAAGATATTAAAGTTGATAATTATTGAGATTAAAACATCTCAGAGATAAAATGAGGATAATTCTTCATAAGAGCTACCTCCAATTTCGATGAAATTAGGCTCATTCGATGTGTATAATAAAAAAATCTGGCAGAAAAAATCCAGGTTCTACAAAGCGAGATATTAAAGTTGATTAAAGTGCTAATACGTAACACAATCATTAATCTGTCATATAGACAGTGGAATGTATAGACTAGTGTTTATTGATTTCAGGTGGCTATGTAACTCCGAACCAAAAAAAAATAACATCCTACTCGCTTAGGGCTTAACCACTTAGAAATTGCAGCCTAGACAGAAAAAAGACTTTTCACACTCCACTTCATGGGTTAGAAATATTCCAAGCGGACACTGTCTAAGTGATTAGGCCCCAAACGGGATATGTTATGTACTTTTTGTTTGGGGTGGCGTAATCATAAAACTTTTTGTCCGAAAAATTTTTTGAAACAATTTCTCCTTTTCGAGATATTTGCATGCATCGATTTAAATGATTTATCTTGAATATACAATATGTATTACTACTTATACAAACACGCTGTGTATTTTGTTTTTTTGTATACATAATAAATTTTAATTTAAATATTAAATGTAATTTCTAAGTTAATAAATTTACAAATAGTATTTATATAAATAAAAGAAAAATATATGCATTATAATCTCTTCATCTACATCTTTCTATATATTTTTTGTAAATAAGAAAGATAAACTTGTTGGAATTTAATAAAATTTATTTCTTTGCTCAAATTTAATTTCTCTTGAGCAATATTTTGCATGCTATAGATAAACGATGAGACTAACAAGAACTACAATGAGAAAGATGAATGAAACCAAATTGTTGCAGCTGCTATCTCGGCTGTGGAATGGATCCAATGGTGTACTTGCGGGTAAGCATGCCGAAGAGAAAATGATATCCATCCTGAGGAACAGGTTTCCACAAGCTCAATTGATTGAAGTTACTGATGTATCAGGTACGGACTTACTTTTAGTAAGTTTACGCCTTATTATACCGGAAAATCAATTACTTACTCCCGATGTGTCTTAAAGGGCTGCCGCACACAAAATTCCGCAACAGTGCAAAAGATCGTAAGGCGTAAACTTAAGTCGATGAGCCAATCGGGATATTGCTTTAGATCGTAATTTAACGGAAATAAAAATAATAAACTAAAGGGAGTTTATGGTCATAATCGTGTACCGTATGTCTGTGAAAATTACCAATCACCTTCGAATACTCTTCTTACCGTCGAATGAAAGGAGAATACTCGACTGTGATTAGTCAATTCTTATAGATTACGGCATATGATATACAATCATGTCATATACAATATAAACGCTCCCTATCCATAAAACAAACCGATTAATTGTTGCTTAAAACGTAAGCAGTAAAGAAATCAACATGTTGGATTGGTTATTGCTTACGTTATAGTTTTACAGGTTCTACTATGATTGGTCAATTCGTTTATTGCTTACATTTTACTGTTTAAGTTTTTTTGTGTACCATGGCTCTTAAAAAATATACTTAGCGATACATTGATATAATAGCAATTTTACTTTAGGAGGATGCGGTGCTATGTTTGACATAAATGTCGTTGCCTCAGAATTCAAAGGACTAAATACTGTAAAGCAACATCAAATTATTAATAAGGTAAAACACAACGTCTTTTGAATTTTTTTGAACGAAGAATATATGAAGAATATATGAGGGTAATAATTTTGTTAGGGAGAGTGTGTGTAGTATAACTAATATATTTTATTGCAGGTTCTTAAGGAAGAAATCAAAGATATGCATGGCCTCCGAATACGTACGAGTATCCCACAAGCCTAAATTTTATTTTTGGACTGTTAAATTAATTTTAGAGAAGGAAGAATATCGATTGTAATGAATAATAATGGATAAATATCTTAATATCTATTTCAAGAGTTCTTAAAAGTTTATTCATCAAGAATTTTTTAATTTTGGATGATGTTAAAAATAATTCTAGATTTTCGTCACATATTTGAGACAATTTGTTGTATGATCAGTCCATTATTAGCTCGAATCTTCATCAATATCTGAAGAAGGTCTGAAGAAGTCTTGTATAAAATATAGATAATGTTATGTATATTTTATAAGATGTAAATTATATTGTGTGTTATGCACAAATGTAAAACAAATTTTAGAAAAAGAATAAGTGAGATAAAAGTGGAAATTTTATTAATGAAAAAAAAAATTTATATTCATTGCGCAGAAAGTCAATTTGACGAAAATTATATTACTATTGTATCGGTGTCGGACTCATTTTCGATTACGCCCAATTACGAACGAAAGCCTATCGCTTCTCACTTAATCCTTATATTATTCCGTTTTTTGTCTTGCATGCGTTCATCTAATTTTGTCATGTCACAAAGAGATTGTATA